TAGGTGTAACCTTAAGAAAACTCAGGAAAACAATCTCCTCAACACTGTCACAACATGAATACCGGTACCAACTCATATGTGCCAGTACATATTTTTATATACTATAACACACTAATAAATTAACAACGCCCTCATGGTATTTCCTATTCATTACAACAAGTGACTCTGAGAAACAATGTTTATGGATGGCAGAAGTGTCAGGTCAAGCTCAAAACTGGGAAACCGATTTTGCATTTCAGTTTAGTAACAACGTATTCTGGGGCTTTAAAAGCGAATTAAAATTTACTGTACGCCTAGTTCGGGTTTGTACTGATTTAAATGAACTCTTAAAACCCCCATTCATTGCAGGAACGGCACCAATAAGCAAAACATACTTCTGCAAGTGGAGTATGCAAAATGGGATGGAGCCCCACAAGTTGTACGCTACTTGAACAAGTATTCTTGAAATTTCTGTGGTGATCGAAATCTAGTAATGTCGATAGAAGATCATACTCATAGCCCTTTTGTCACGCTGACTCCAATAATAGAGGTATACACTGCTTTATGATAACAAAGCTAGCCAACTGGCATAGACAGAGCAGAAAAGTGCGATAGACTTTGAGACCAATGAATGTATGCTTCTTATTAGAAAAAATAAACCCTCACGTTGTCTACCAAAGCCAACACTTTCACTCATGCAGTCTGAGGATGAGCAACACTGTCATAGATACCAAAAACACTGAGAGGCATGATATGCAGTCGTTGGATCATTAAGTCAAATTGAGGCATATTAGAGTTATACATGCAAATTATACATTATTTCACAAATACAAAAAGACATGTTCATCATTATTATACATTCACATTGGTAATCTATGAGGAAACGATGCGACTTGTGGTCTTTTTGACGCACGGCAGAAGAAGAGACCTGTTCAACACATTGTCACTAAATCAAGGTGGAACGAACAGTAACACAACCGCTCTTTCATCAGTTAGAATCTAACTTTAAGAGCAATAAGTGGCTGCAAAATGGCCGTTTCGTAAATTTGCGGTGCTATCCGTTTGACAGAAATGTATTTACTATTAACGGAGAAAGTGAAGTTCAAGGATGACATTGGGTGTTATAGTACTGGTACTAATGTTTTGACTGTGCTAAACGAACCGTGGAAAATGTAGTTTTCACCAGGCACCACGGCAGTACATAATATGAAATGAAAATTGTCTAATAATTCTAAAGTGTGCTAAATGTCGTATGGTGTCCAGATTAAGTACAAATGAAAGAAAAAGATTAACGTAAAAACAAAAATTTTGTTGGTACAAATAATACGGGTAACCAAATTTACGGAATAACTAGCGCATAGAGTGATGTTAACACTTTATAAGCTGACAACAAAAAAGTTATTCACTGTATCTGCAATCATACGTGTAAATGTACATGTAATGAATTTTGGAGCCACGGTCAGATAACGCAGCTGTATTCTGAGTTATCCAAAGCTCGACGAGGTGGTACATGTATAAATGCCATACAACGATATTTCTCTGTAAACCAGTCATTCCACCTTCACCCTCTCTTACTTTCTTTTAAAAATTTGTCTGTCGGTCTGTCTGTCTCCTCCTGCCCCCCCCCCCCCCAACTGTCTCAGTCTCTCTATTTTTCGATCTCTCTTTCACTCTCTCTATTTCTCTCTCTCTATCTCTGTTTCTCTGTTTCTCCTTCACACACATAAAAGCACACATGTAGGCCTATAGACAAGGCTCGCACGAGCTCACGTTTATATTCATAGATGCGCACTAAAGCGAACACTTTTAAACGCATCATTTTGTATCAGAGAGTGAAAATTGCACTAGAAGTAATTAAATATGTGCAGTGGTATTTCATTGTATTATCGCAACAAAGAAAGAAGTCACACGAAAGAAAAGATTCATCATGGGTTTACAAAGAGATCAAATAGCACAAATATTGCATATTATGTTACTATGTTGGGCGAGGGTCAGAGCACCACATAAAGAGAACCATGGATATTGTTTCCAGAGAGGATGAACATTGTGACGGTACATGCTTATAAATCTATGATACGGGAAAGTGAAAGTAATCCAGGACAATGAGCAGCAACAACCCTCCATGCTGTGTTTATGAACTGCACCCATTTTCAGTGAACAGCGTTTTTTTAAAAGTGCATTGGGACAATGTAAGTTTCGCGCCTTTTTCAATTCAATCAGCACGTGAAGAGGACTTCATCTTCAATAAGACCAAACCAAGAGGGAAAAGAGTCACGAAAGTGTATAAAACTTATCTTGTTCATGAAAACCTTCGTGGAGATTTCAACCAATGTTATTGGCGCTGCATTCCATCGAGGCGTTTTGGATTCTACTGAACATGTCAAATTGTTATCTCATGATGTCAACAGAGAAACAAATTTAGTCTTAATAAAGCTCTTAGTACGATAATGTATATAAATGCAATGCAGCCATATCAAATTACAAACAACTTCAAGGAGCAAGCTGTAGGGCCTATTTGATGAAAGGCCTAGATCTATCACCAATAAGAAAGGTTGATTTTGTCGATGCAGAAACATACACCTTTCTTTTATCTACTGACGAAAACGAGGTTAATAAGGAATGAGATAACATTATTTGCGATTTATATTCTAATTTTCTATTAGCTATTTTTGCACCATAACAATAAATGACAGTGTGCTTCAATTCAGAAATAACTCATGTATTATCTCGGTCCACCAAAGACATTGACAGCGTAAAGTAAAGTAAATGTTACGCCGAAAGATCTGGCATCACAAATGAATATATCACCCACAGTGTTACAATATACCGTCATTAATAGGCCTATTCTGCGGACACCCAGGCTTATATCAATTGTGACCCAGTGGGTCATGTACTGTCTAACGTGTCTCAGATTTTTCTATGCTCTGGAGCTCAAAATAGTTGATAAAGCCAATCAAGAGCTTCACCTATTTGACTTGAACTCGCTTCAGTTTCTTGAAGCATGTTTCTTAAAAAGAATATAGTTAATTAAGAAAACATCCCTTTTGCGTTTTAATATTTTTGCCCAGCTGTTTCGAAAGCTGACTGTCTGTTATTGAAACATAGCAACACACATATTCAATTCCATTTCCACTGGTACACGTGTATCTCCTGATTTTCAGCTTTAATATGCTCTTTTAATCAAATGACCGGAAACAGATTTTCCTCCACAAATTCGCTGTACTGTATGGCATAAGAAAACTGTAGAAATACTAAATAAGATAAAACTATGACATGTTAGACAATTAATTATGACTCAGTAAGTGACTAATCAGTTTCGGCTTTGAAAGTCATAATAATGCATAAGACATGTGTATGTGAACTTGAAGAGGTTGAGAAAAAAATGAAGTAAACATTCAAATTGCATGACTGATAACAATTAAAAATACTAAAGAAAAAGAGTCATTTCGATTGTATTTAACGGTATAAAACTTTCTATATCAAATTCATACATGAATGGAAACCATGAAGGGACCCAGTTGGCGAAAAGATCACAATTCTGATTAAATTATGAGTCTGTGCGTATTTGAGGAATGGACAAGCTGACTTCATAAGAATTGCTCCACCGTCCATCACACACAATTCCAAAAGAGCAGAAACTAAAATAAGTACAACTAACATTGGACAACACACATAGCCTGCTGTATGCACCTTCTCAGAACAAACGTTTAAATACATTCTATTTCATAGGGCAAAAAACAAAAAAATGATCAACTAATTTCTATTCACAACTCTGTTGTGAGCATTCACGTATTCCTCTCCAATGACGATTAAGATTGCAAAAAATCGTGTAATCCGACTATACTTTGCGTATTAAGGTAGTGTCTCATTCTACTCATAACCATAAAGAGACTAAGGTATCGTTGACACGACGTGCTTTCCATCATGGCCTTCAACGCGAACTTCAAACAGGAAAGAAAAATAAATATATATAGGTTACAGTAGACCATCTACTTTTTCGACGACAACGTAGACGTAAAATTTGAATTATGCCATTTATTACCGTTCTAGGGTTCCTTTACACATTCACATACGCATTTGTGCTCGCAAGCAACTTTCGTGCATACACATACACACATAACCCCCCCCCCCCCCACCCCCACATACTTACAGATACAGATACACACGCACACGTGCATAGAGGAAGACAGACGGACGAACAGTTGAATGATGAATGGACAGATAGACTTGTAGATTTACTCATTAAGTCTGAGACACCTTCAGGATTTTGCACGATTGACAATATTGATTTATTTTTATTTTATTTGCCCCCCCCCCCCTCCCCCCACTCAATTTAAAAAACAAAATAGTCAATTACAGAGGGCGTTGGGGAATGAAGACACATATAAAAGAATCGTTGGGAGGAGATAAAGTGAGAAATGAAAAGGAGAGTGGTGGTTTTTAGGAAGGAGAAGGACATTTCAACGACAGCAAAGAAAAAAAAAAGGAGACCGAGACATAATTTTTTGCATACAATTATAACAACAAACTGCAGGCATGAGTAGTGTAATTGTTCGGTCCGCTGTCTGGCACGCATTTTGACTTCTACTTTGGGAAGTTTATTTCATTCAGTACGTTATGTCTGTCTTTCTGCTTGGGAGCTGTGCTCCACTTAGTCTGGCTTCGCTTTTAACTGACAGCGTCGAGTCAGCTTTGTCTTGTGTTGGTTTTACCCCCTTTTCCACACTGTATGTGATGTGAGGTTTTTTTAATTTTAAGAGATAGGGCATCCAAATGTCACGTCCACCTCTGACAGGACTGTGCTAAGTAAACGAAGAGCCTTGAGGACTTCCCCAGCAACTCAATTACAAGAACAATCCATTGGGGAATCATAACCAGGATCATCCGAACTATAGGTCCAGCATGATACAAACTAAGGTATACGAAGAGCACTTGCGGCAAGCAACTCTTCTCCTAATTAATGTCAAACATTTGTCGAGGAATGCGTGGCGTAAAATAGATAATGGTAATCAGCAACTAACCGTTGGATCTGTCTTGTATTAAAGGCATGTCTTCCTTCCAGAAAGTACAATCTCGGTGACGCAGACCGTGTCCAACAGAGTAAGAGTTTGCCTTGATCTCTAGGAACTCTTTTCTCTCACTAGAGTAAGCTGGCCAGGAACTCCCCGGGTCTCTGCAGAAACAGGGGATGACAAAAATTTTTTTTTAGATGTTGCTATGACAGAACTAAGCAGCCATACAGAAACAACTGTGAACAGTTGAAGAAGTAGGAACAACTACACAAACGGCTTGAGACCTTCAATCACGCGCTGTGCGGAGTCTGCTGAAAACGAAGCCAATGATTAGAGGTGTGGGGGATTATGCGTTCTACTTGCACTAGATGCAAATGGTAGTAAAGAATTAACTGTTTCCAGAGCAAAGGGATTTTTGCTCCTAAGCGATGGATGGCTTGAATAAGAATAATCATTTCTGTTAAACATGGAACGCCATGCCTCATGGACATCAAATTTGTGGATTGAGAAATGATTCACCATTACAGTCCTACAAAATCCTTCACTTTCCATTGTACTGGAACTTAGGTGTCTGAGGATGTATACCGGTGTCTGTGGTGTAGCAGTTAGGCGCTTTGCCATCATACACAGATTACGTGAGTTCCATTCTCGTATGGAGAGAGTTCTAATAATTAATATAAAAATAACGGGAACATATCTACCCCCAAACATTGGCTTATCTTCTACTTACGCAAGACCAACATACCCTGCTTCACTGGTGTAGTGAATAAAAGTAAAAGTTACTCTTCGCCGTCAAGAGCAAAAGGAGAATAATGTATCTAATCGAACATCTCCAGGCCTTTACCCCACTTAATAAGGATTGACCCTGACAGACCTTGTCGGAACAGCCCATTTCCTGGCAGATCTAAAGTTTGTTAATAAAGGAGTTAAATATTTAGAAATCAAATTTATACTCTGTTCTACAATGAGCATGCCCTGTTTTTAAACACTTTCCCAATTCTAGTGATAATGAACTTTCTTCTGTTCTAAAGCGAATTTACCCTGTTATATAGATAACGAACATTATCCTTCTGAAACAAACTTCCCCTGTTGAATAAATATGTAACATTATCCTGTACTAAAACGAATTTACATGTTCTATGATTATAACGAACATAATCCTGTTCTAAAACAAACTGACCATGTTCTATAAATACATTGTAACAAACATTATCCTGTTGGCGAATAAACGTACCCTGCTCTATAAATAACGAACATTATCTTGTCCACCTCGTTCTATTTCTAAAACAAGCTAGATCTAACCCTGTTCTATAAATAATGAACATTATCTGCTCTCAAACGAACTCACCCCGTTTTAGCAAAAGCGGTGATCCACTCCATGAGCTGTCTGCTCAGATCTCGCTCATCATCCGTATACTCTTCCGGTTTGAGGAAAGGGATGCCCAGAAACGCCTCAACTTCGTAGCCGTGAGCCACGCCAAACCACTCTGGCCACGGGTTGTTGCTGAGTCGTTGTCTGAAGGAGTACTGGTAGACAGGGGCGTTCATCAAGCTGACATACTGCTCGCTGAAGTGCACCACCGGGCACTTGAACAGCATGTCGCCGCTGGATATGACGTCACCAGGTGCGCAGGAAGATTGTAGGTATGACGTGCGGGCCATTTTTTGTGTTGTGGGTGTGTGTATGTGTGGGTGTGTGTGTATGTGTGTGTGAGTGTGTGTGTGTGTATGTGTGCGTGTGTGTGTGTGTGG